TAAGGAAGAGAAAGAGGGAAGAGAGGAGGGAGAGAGAGAGAGAGAGAGAGAGAGAGAGAGAGAGAGAGAGACCCTCTGGTGTTGAGAAGAGAAACTTTTAGCAAACATTCTAGGTAGCTAGAGATCAAAAGTCTGATTTTCAGGCAGACACACCTTCCCTAACTCTGACCCTCCCCACTGCTTAGTCACAGAGGTTGGTGGGGAAATGCATTAACTTAGGGGGAATAGAAGATATAAGTGATCAGGGTGGAAAAGGGAAAGAGGTGATAATGATTAATGATCGATAATAAGGAAAAAAGCTGGAGAGATGGATGGCTCAGTGGTTGAGAGCACTGGCTGCTCTTCCAGAGGACTTGGATTTAATTCCCAGCACCCACATGACAGCTCACTACTGTCTGTCACTTCAGTTTCAGGGACATGACACCCTCACACATACATACATGAAACACCAATGCACATAAAGTAAAAAAAAAAAAAATTACTGCCAGGTGTGATGGCACACACCTTTAATCCCAGCACTTGGGAGGTAGAGGCAGGCAAGCATCCTGGTCTTCAAAGAGAGTTCTAGGGCAGCCAGAGAAACACTGTTGGGTGTGTGGGGGGGGAATAAGGGGAGAAGATACATTTGATTAAAACAAATCAGAGAGTTGATTATTTTCCAAAATAGCATGGCAGATGACAAACAATAGGAAATGGTGGGGAATTTCTCTCTCTCTCTCCCTCTCTCTCTATTAGGAAAACATTTCATTGAAAGGGGTCTTGATGTTGTTGTTCTTTTGAGACAGGATTTCTCTATGTAGCCCTGGCTGTCCTGGAAGTTGTTCTCAAACTCAGAGATCCCCCTGCCACTGCCTCCTGAGTGCTGGAATTGAAGGCATGTGCCACTACACCTGGCTTCCTTTTGTATTTAGGTACTATGAAGATTGCTCGAACACAAATTCATGCAAATTATTTTCGTCTAAATATTTTGGGCACCTTCTATAATTTTTAGTAACCATAGGAATGGGGAAGAAAGTATATTGTTGCACATCTATAGTCACAGCACTTAGAAGTCTGAAGCCGGAGAATGGATAGGTTGAGGTCAGTCTGGAGTATATAGTGAGTTCCAGGACAGCATGAGCTACATAACCCTCTCTCTCTCTCTCTCTCTCTCTCTCTCTCTCTCTCTCTCTCTCTCTCTCTCTCTCTCTCTCAAAACACAAAAATAAGGCCAGGAGTTCCCAGTACTCAGAGAGGTAGAGGCAGAAGGATCTCTGGGATCTCTGTGAGTTTCGGACCAGCCAGGGCTCCACTGTATCTCAAAACCACACCAAACAGCATAGGAAATGGGAAAGTGGCTTCTTTGCATAAGTTGCATTTTCTCTCACAATTCATTTCCCCAGGGAATCAGCCTTGTTCCTGGTCAAGTCTACAGCTTTTCTCTGATCTTGAAAATTTCCTCCCAGGTTGGAAACATTAGTATTCAGGTAAGCTATCAGGTTGCAACCTGCTGTGAACAACCTCTTAAAACTCAGATGAGGGTCTGATGGTCCCACCCCAACCCCCACCTCCAGATGGAATGAAGGTTTGTGTTCTTCCAGGTATATCTGAACTATATAGAAGTTTTGACTTTGGAGGATGAAGATGAGAGTAGTTTGTTGCTGTTTAGTTCTTTTTTTTTCCCCCTTTCAATTATTTACTTTTATTTTATGAGCTTTGGTGTCTTGTCTTCATGTTATATCTATATGAGGGTGTTAGATCCCTGGAACTGGAGTTACAGACAGGTTTGAGCTGCTGGGAATTGTAGGTGCTGGGAATTGAACCCCAGTCCTCAGGAAGAGTAGCCAGTGCCCTTAACCACTGAGCCATCTCTGCAGCCATTGTTGTTTACTTTTTTTTTTGAGACAGGGTCTCTTGATGCTAGACTGGGATGATATAGATCAGGCTAGCCTCAAACCCACAGAGATTCTCCTGTCTCTGGCTCCTAAGTGCTGATTAAAGTCACCCCTGGTGAAAGAGGAAATTTATTTAAATTTGTTTATTTATATAAAACCTATTTATTTTAGGTATATGAATGTTCTATCTGCACATATAACTTTATGCTAAAAGAGGGCATCAGATCTCATAGATGTTTGTGAGCCACCGTGTGGTTGCTGGGAATTGAACAAAGGACCATTGGAAGAACCACCAATGCTCTTAACTGCCTGGAACTAGCTCTGTAGACCAGGCTGGCCTCGAACTCACAGAGACCTGCCTGCCTCTGCCTCCCAAGTAATAGGATTAAAGGTCCTAGTGCCAATGCCCGGCTAAAAAAGGGAATCTTAAGAAGAGTTTGAAGTTCCTAAAAAGACGCACCCAAAGGCTTGCTTGGCAACAGTGGGGAGCCTTGAGACTAACAGCTGTTACAAGGGACAGCAGGAAGGGTGAAAAGCCAGGGAGGGGCCCATGGGGCATGTCCCAGTAGTGCTCACGAACTCAGGCAGGCACCCTGCGGTCCAGACTGGTTCTGGAGCTCCATAAGGCCTCTCTTATTTTTTATTACACGTTTGTTGTGTGTGTGCCTTAGTGTTATGTGGAGGTCATTTCTTTTGCTACCATGAAGGTCTTCTGGTTGTCTGACTTGGCAGCCAAGCCAATAAATCATCCAGATGGTCCTCTGTTTCTGATACAGGATTTGGTTATTTGGAGAGCTGTCTTCAAACTCAAAAGTTTCCTGCCTCTGTGGCCTGGATGCTAGGATTACAGGTATGTGCCACCAGGCCTGACTTGTGTAAGCCTTCTCCATCTCTAAAACTTCTGTCGTAATCTACATACACAGCTGACTTCTTAACCCAGACTTTTTCTTTTGGACTTAAAACTCAAATGACTAGCCAGGTGGAGCCTGAGTCAGGAGGATTGTAAGTTCAATACTTGCCCAAGCCATGTAATGAGATCTTGTCTCAGGGAAAAAAAAAAAAAAAAGTAAAGAGAGGGCTGAGGGTATAGCTCAGCGCTAAAGTTAGTGCTTACTTTGTACTTGGTCTGAAAACAAACCAATGACAATCACCCCATGTTAATAATGCTAATACCTCTACTCTGCCTCAGAAGCACCCAATATTTGTGTTAACCCAGGACCCACTCCTGGCCACCTACAAACACTCTTGCAGCTCTTGCTAACTGCTTGACCACCTAACTCAGAAACCTAAGCTTGGCCCTATTTCTTCTTTCTTTCCCCATCCCACGCCTCCCCCTAATATTATTTTACTTAATGTGTATAGGTGTTTTGCCTGTGAGTATAACTGCACACCTCGTGCATGCCTGGTGCTCAAGGAGGTGAGGAAAGGGCATCTAGTCCTTGGAAACAGGAGTGATAGGCAGTTGTGAGCTGCCATAAAGGGTGCTAGGAGACGAACCTGGGTCCTCTGGAAGAACGGCCTGCGCTAACTACTGAGCCATCTCTCCAACCCCTCTTCCATCTCAACCTCAAACCTGACCAAATCCTGCAAGTCAGTTGTATCAATTCTGTTTCCTAAAGATCTCAGTTGTCACCGCCACCGATGCTGCCGCCACCACCACCAGCGCCATTACAGTGTCAGGCTAAGGTCAAGGTTTGCTTCCTCCCAGCCATGTACAAAAAGTGATTTTGTAAAATTAATTTACTTGTTTTTATTTTATGTACACTGGTATTTTTCCTATGTGTAGTCTGTGTGAGGGTGTCAGATCTTGGAGTTACAGTTGTGAGCTGCCATGTGGATGCTGGGAATTGAACCCTTGTCCTTTGGAAGAGCAGTCAGTGCCCTTAATTGCTGAGCCATCTCTCCAGCCCCAAGATAACTTTTTTTTTTTTTTTTTTTTTTTTTTTTTTTTTTTTGGTTTTTCGAGACAGGGTTTCTCTGTATTGCTTTAGAGCCTGTCCTGGAACTTGCTCTGTAGACCAGGCTGGCCTCAAACTCACAGAGATCCTGCCTCTGCCTCTGCCTCCCGAGTGCTGGGACTAATGGCATGCTCCACCAACGCCTGGCTTCCAAAATGATTCTTATAATACCTAGAAATGATCATCTAATTTCCTGACTTTAAAACTTTTTTGTGAGGCTAGGGATATAGCTCACTTGGTAAAGTATTTGCATAGTATGCAGGAGGCCCTGGGTTTGCCTCCCAGAACCAGTCTGGTGACCTGAGAGGTAGAAGCAAGAGGATCAATAATTCAAGGTTATCCTTGGTTATGTGGCAATATCAGTCTAGGCTACTTGAAACCCCAACTCCCAACAAACTCCTGTTGGTGATTTCTGGCTGCCCTTCAGCTAATGTCTGTGTGTGGCATACGCTCTCCAGACTCTTCCCTCAGCATTGTGCCCTCCTCAAACGTTCCACAGTAGAAGTAACTGTTGCCTGTACTCACTGTTGCCTCTGGACTTTTGTACTGTTCTTCTGTTTAGCTCATTCTCTTGGCCTTTGCCCCTCTCCTGGTTAATACCTCCCCTCTTTAGGTATTACTTTAAACAACACTGTCTGTGAGAGGCCATTCCCAACTGAAGAAATATGTTAGCTCTGCCATCTGCATGCTGGACTGTACCCTGCATTCCTCCGTGATTAATTTCCCTTATCAGTTTACCAGTTGCCACACTTCCCGACTATACAATGAAACCTAACAATCTGAACTTATCAACTTGGTGTCCACAGTCCCAACGCAGTGTATGACACCTAGTAAAGAATCAATTTATTGCTATTGTTTGGAGATGGCCTCGAACTTGCTATGTAACTGAGGAAGACATTGGTCTACTGATACAATTGCCTTTACCTCCCCAGTGTTCATTCCTGCTCGGGTTTTTGTTTTGTTTTGTTTTGTTTTCCCTGAGACAGGGTGTCCTCAAACTTGTGACCCCCCCGCCTCGGCCTCCCTATTGCTGGAATTACAAGCATAGACCATCGAACTCAGTTTTAATATTTGTTGCATGGCAAAATGAGTAAAAAGCCATTTTAGTTCCTTTGGTTTTTTTTTTTTTTATGGTTTTTTTGAGACAGAGTTTGCTTTGGAGCTCCCTCTGTAGATTACTTTTTAATCCATCTGTAATGTATGTGTATACATAAACCTTCCTCAAAATACAGCTTGGCTGACAGGACTGACATAGCTAGGAAGATGCGTATTCTTGATCACAGGAATACAAGAGGAACTGTCAGTGAGACAGGAGGTTTTTGCTTGTCTCCTTCTGCTGTTGTTTTTCTTTTCCTTCCTTTCTTTTGTTTTCTTTTTTTTTTTAAGACAGGGTTTCTCTATGTGACTGTATTGTCCTGGAACTCACTCTGAAGATCAGGCTGGCCTCAAACTGTTGTTTTTCTGATGACAGGGTGTCACTATGTATAACAGGCTGGCCTGGGACCCATAGAAATCAACCTGCCTCTACCACCATGCCTGGTTTGTTTTGTTTGTTTTGCTTTCCCAGACAGGGTTTCTTCGGGTAGTGTTGACTGTCCTAGAATTAGCTCTGTAGACCAGACTGGCCTCGAACTCACAGAGATCTACCTGTGTCTGCCTCCCGTGTGCTGGATCAAAGGCGTCATCACCACTGCCCAGCCTTGTTTTGGTTTTTTGGGGGACAGGGTTTCACTCTGTAACCCAGGCTAATCAGGAACTCACTATATAACCCAAGCAGCCCTTCACAGATTTCTAAATGCTGGGATTCTAAGTATGAGTCACTATGCCCAGCAACATGAGAAGAAATGTTTAAGCTTTAATTTTATCCCATGTGATATGGTAATAATAAATTTTTCTCATATAATCCAACAAATAATAGCTATCATTAAAAAATCCAAATAACTAGCATATCTAGCTATTCCAAATAGCACTAAGCCCATGTTCCCCTGCTCAGGAGAGAAAGTCCATGACTAAAACTTCCCACCAGGGGGCAGTATTACCCTGGACCCGCCTGTTCTGCTTCCAGGGCAGCACAAGACCTGCAGTGTTTCTCCTGGGCTGTGGGTACAATGGAGGGAGGAATGGGAGGATGAATGGGGGGCAAAAACAGAAATAGGGACATGTACCAAGGCCTCATGTTTCTTTGACCCAACCCTCTTTTTCATCCCAGGCTCCTCCGAGGCACTGTTTCTGCTTAGGAATAAGCATTTTCTGGCTTGCCATTGGTGCGTGGGAGAGGCACTCCCCTGCCTTCTACTATCTTCTGCTATCCCACGAGAGTCTCCAGCTCCCACTTCAAGTAGACACTATGTTAAGAGAAGCAGGTTTGCTTTTCCCAACTGCAGGGCCCTCATTATTGTGCGCTACCGGTTTCTGGGATGTGGAGAGTGACGGGCAGGGCGACCCTTGTTATAGACTGTATTCATCCTTTTCCACCTTGATTTCAATGAATGAGTTCAAATCAGGACAGGATGTCTTGTGAGACTGGTCAAAGGATGGTGAGACAGGTCCTTTCTCGTTGCCTCCTCCTCCTTCCTCTTCTTGGAAATTAGGGTTGTAAAGATCGGGTGGAAGGAGTTGAGCTTCCACGGAAGGCAGTCTGTCTGAGGGAGGCCCGTATACACGGTTGGCTTTGGTGCCATGCTTTGAGTTAGCATCCAGGTGGTAGCAGAGCTCGGTGAGGCGCTGAGCTCGGAACCTGGGAGAGCGCGCCACCCACACACCTGGCTCATTAAGACTGTCCTCCTCATCGGACATCAGTTCTTCAGTCACGTTCTTCCACAGCTGTTGGTCCTCAGGTCCAAAATGCCTCATGATACTGGATCGGTTGGCAAAAAGCTATGGCAAGACCCAGGACAGAGATCAGAAGAAAGACTATGGATTTGTAGGCAGGGTTTATGTTGGGAGAAAGGACATCTAAAAGCTGTGCCTAAATGCACCCAGTTCTCAAGTGAGACTTAAGAGTTAGCTCACCCTTCATCTATCTGTCTGTCTGTCTACCCTCCAGTCTGTTGACCATATCCTCAGCTACTGTACCCTTTGGCATACCCTTCCCACTATTGGGATCTCAGTTAGGGATTCAGATTTCAGAAAGGAAGGCCTAGAGACCTACCCGGTATCGGCGACTTCGAAGTTTCTTCTCCTCTTTTTCCTTCAGGCCTTTGAAAGGGTTAAGAGAGTTGCGGTACTCTCGCCTCTTGGTAAGGAAGTAGGCCACACAGGCTCCTAGGGGAAGGAGGTAGCAAGAAGCAGGACCTTCTAGAACAGGGGTCCCCAGCCCCCACACTGCTTACTGAGTAGAAGGCTAGAGTCACCGTTCAGCAGGCTGGGCTTTCAGTCCTCTTGGATTCACCTTCATCTCTAAAACTAGCTCCTCCCAAACATCCCTCACTGCAAAGAGAACGCCAAATGCTTCTGTGCATTAAACTCTAACATCAATCTACTATTGCTACCCTACCAACAGTTCTTTTTACAGCTGCCACAGGACATCAGCAATAGGTATAGGTGACAGAGACAAAGGAAAGTAGAGAACTTACAACATTGTGGCTTCTTGTGTTTAGATGTAATGTTATTTTATGTGTATGTGTGTTTTGCCTGCATGTGTCTGTGCAGCACATATACACAGTGCTCTCAGAAGCCAGAAGAGTACATCAGATCACCCGGAACTGGAGTGACAGAAGCTGCCATGTGGGTGCTGGGAATTGAACCCAGATCCTCTGGAAGAGCAGCCAGTACTCAACCACTGAGCCATCTCTCTGGCCCTAGGACATAGTATTTAGGGACAGGGGGCAGGCTTTTGGGTTGACAAGATGGCTGATAGGGTAAAGGTGACTGGTACCAAGCCTAATGACACAAGTACCATCCCTGGAAGCAGGGAATCAACTACCACAAGTTGTCCTCTGAGCTCTACATTCGTACTGTGGCAAACAATTATATATGAGCATTTGCATGCACACACAGTAAATAAATAAATGTAGTACCTTTTGTTTTGTTTTTGTTTATTTGCTTTTTCAGTTTTTCAAGTCATGGTTTCTCTGTAACTGCTCTGGCTGTCCTGGAACTCCCTCTGTAGACCAGGCTATCCTAGAACTCAGAGATCTGCCTGCCTCTGCCTCCTGAGTGCTGGGATTAAAGGTGTGCACCACCGCCACCTGTCTTGTAATATGTTTTTTAAAGGAATGGGGCTGGAGAGATGGCTCAGCAGTTAGAACTGGCGAATCTTCCAGAGGACTGGACTCGATTTCATAGCGTCCACATGACAGGTCACAACACCTGTGCTTTCAGTGCCTGGGCATCCAGTGCCTTCTCCTGACCTCAGCAGGCTCATGCACACAAGTGGTACACATGCATACATTTAGATGTATACACACTTGTAAAATAAAACAAATACATATTTAAAAACAACAACAAAGCCAGCATGGTGGCACAGGCCTTTAATCCCAGGACTTAGGAGGTGTGTCTCAGTGAGTTCAAAGCCAGCCTGGTCTACATAGTTCCAGGACAGCCAGGTGACTGAGACACTTGACTAATAATAGTAGTAGTAATAATAAGCTAACTCCTGACCTGATAGGTTCAGTCTCTATATAAACATAATATGTAAGGGCATTTTCATTCCAAACTGAGAAGAGGGAAATCTGAAGTAATTGTTAATAAATTCTAGGTAAGAACAAAGGTTTTAAAATGCCCAAGCACTATATTTTTCTCTCCCTCCCTCTCTCCCTCCCTCCCTCCCTCTCTTTCCCTTCTTCCTTCCTTTCTCCCTTCACAGCTCAAGCTGGCCTAGAACTTTGGCCTAGATTGGCTTTGAACTTGAAGCAATCTTCTTGACTCAGTCTCCAGCCCTGGGATCACAGGTATGAGATACCAGACTTATCTGCTTCGCACTATTTTACATTTTTTGTTGTATGCCTAGCCTTTAATGGCTGAGCCATCTCTCCAGCCCCATTGTGTGCTATTTTAATACCATCTCAATCACCGGCATGCCTCCTGCCTCCCAGACAAGAGCTGGGGATAGAAGAGGCAGGCAGAGAGCAGGAGCAAGGGAAGTCAGGGCCCTTACCTTTCAGCTCCTTATCAGTGTAATTGTGGGGACTGGTCATCAGCTCCTGCTTGAGCTTTTCCAAAAGGAATTTCACTACGGAAATATTCCAAGAGGACTTAATGCTGTCACAGAGGAGAAAAGACAAAATTAGGCAGACAACTTCTGAGAAGCCAGACACACCTAGAATGAATTAGCTTAATAGTAAACTCCTTGGCTTGGTACAAGCCAGCATCCTCCACCCCACCCCCCAGCCCTGCTTCCCTCTCAGCAAAGCACCCTGTAAGCTGTCTGTCTTGAAGAGACCATACCTTTCAGATCCATTGAATCTCTTGTCGTTGGTGATGTGGTTATGCACATTGTGGACCAGTTTCTAGGGAAGGGAGAAAGACTCAGGTCAGAGAACACAGGAAAACTTTCTGCTCCCTAGGATGAAAAAGCACCATCCCACTGTGTGGCTTCTTCTCTGTCCCAATCATCATTTCTACTTCCTAGGCTTTTGTCTTTGGGGGTTTTGTTTGTTTGTTTTTTGAGACAGGGTCTCTCTGTGTAGACATGACAGTTCTGGAATTCCCTCTGTAGACCACGTTGGCCTCAAATTTACAGAGATCTGCCTGCCACTGACTCCCAAGTGCTAGGATTAAAGACATGTGCCACCCAGCTTCTAGGCACCTGTCTTGGTTAAGTTTTTATTGCTTAAAAGAGACACCATGACCACGGCAATTCTTACAAAGAAAACATTTAATTGAGGGCTTACAGTTTCAGAGGCTCAGTCCATCATCATGATGCAGAGCATGGCTGGGAGCATGGCAGACATGATTTTGGCTATATCGTGTTCAGAAAGCAATAGGAAGACGACCGACTCACTGGACAGTATTCTGAGAATAGGAAACCTCAAAGTCCACCACAGTGACACACTTCCTCCAACAAATTCACACCTTCTAATAATGCACTCCCTGTGAGATTATGGGGGCCAAACTACCATAGCACATGTATTTATTTTATTTACTTGTGGTTTTTTGAGATAGGGTTTCTCTGTGTCACAGCCCTGTTTGTCCTGGAACTCACACTCTGTAGACCAGGCTGGCCTCAAACTCACAGAGATCCGCCTGCCTCTGCCTCCCAAGCACTGGGATTAAAGGCATGCGCCACCACCGCCTGGCTAGCACCATTTTTCTTTTTTAAATATGTCATTTCTTAACTAAAGAGTTATCCAAGGATTTATATTATTTGCTTTTCTTATTAACCAAAAACTTATGTACCTCAAGCTGACTTCAGGTTTCTTGTGTGGTGAAGCTGGTCCTGGACTCCAGCTCTTTGTACCTTCGTTAGCTGAATGCTGAGAAGATGGGTGTCCCACCATATCCAGCTACCTATGTTTCTTTGAATATAAGTGTATTCTGAAATTGTCTATTAAAGTTGATGATCCACTAGTTGGGTGTATTGGCCGGCGCCTTTAGCCCCAGTATTCAGGAGGCAGAGGCATGAGGATCTGTGTATGAACACATGCATTTATATATATGTTTGCCTGTGTGTACATCACATGTATGCAGGAGCCCACAGAGGTCAGAAGAGACAACAGATCTCGAAACTAGTGTTATAGATTGTTGTGAGCCATGTGGGTATTAAAAATCTAACCTTACCCTCTGCAAGAGCAGTAACCATTCTTAAGCCTGAGCCGTCTCCCAGCCACCTACCTCCTTTGAGTCAGTTTATTCTACTGAACTTTCTTTTGACAGGAGGCAAGCAGGATCTGACTCTGTAGCTCTAGCTGGCCTGAAGTGCTCTGTGTAGAGTAAGCTAGGCCCAAACTCATAGATATCCACTTGCCTCTGCCTCCCTAGCACTACCACAATGAGTCCAACTGAACATGTTTTGTGTTTTTGGGATAGGATCTCTCTAAATCCCCTGGCTGTCCTGGAATCACTCTGTAAAGCAGACTGGCTTTGATTGAACTCAGAGACCCAAATGTCTCTGGCTCCCAAGTGCTGGGTTTAAAGATGTGTGCCACCACCACCTGGTGACACTTTGAGTTTGTTTGTTTTTTTAAGATTTATTTATTTATTATGTATTCAGTGTTCTGCCAAAAAAGGGCACCAGATCTCATTATAGATTGTTGAGAGCCACCATGCAGTTGCTGAGAATTGAACTCAGGACCTCTAGGAGGAAAATCTGGTTACTGTATGGCATTATATTGTCTTTATATCATTTGACTGCTGAGAAAACAACAACTGTTAAAGAAAATGCTGCTAAATTAATTCAATTTATATATTTTAAAAATGCTTTGACTCAAAAATTTAAGTTCAAGGACAAGTTACTAGGGAAAAGGATTTCTAATTTTGTTTCCACAGAAAATAAAAAGCTGTAGATTCCTTCCAGACTAATGTGGTTTGATCAAGCCAGACCCCCTAAAACAGAGTCGCTGATGATCCATCATCCAAAACAACTTAAACAAGACAGCCTTACAGACCACAGCCAAGATTTCTTCATCTTCTTTGAATCCCCCATGACAGAGCCCCCTATCAACAAAAAGAAGTTTGGAAAGAACTACGCCCAAATTCCCAAATGTTGTTTATAAATGTTTGTTTTCATTTAAGTGGGCTTGGTTATAAATGGTTAATGACCACAACCAATCTCTTTTTAAAGGTAAAAAGGGGATTATGGTATAGATATGAATACTTTGTTTTGGAATGGATTTTCATTTATTGATACAATTTAAGGTCAATGTTATGATATGTATATTTCTCTTCTTGTTTATGTATTGTGTTTATATAGCTCATTTAAAAATGTAATGTATAATTTAGTATAGATTTTAGATAGTACCTATGATAGTCAAATCTTATAGTTAAGTTAGTTAAGATTTCTAAATATACAAACATGTATTTGAGATAAATAGGCATTCTTCAAACCTTTCAAAGACCTACAGAATATGGCATTAAAAATGGTTTAGGGTTTTTCTTGACAGTGAGACATAATTGTTCCTGGCAACACCACCTGCATCAAAAAGGAAGATGGACATTGAAGAAACTCGTTATGGAGTTTACTTCCAATATGGCAAGACTAGCCATTTGGACAAGATACTGCTCTTGTCTGGATGACTTTGTGCTATATAAACTGGACATGCAGGACCCACAGAAAAGTGACTGCTGATTGAAGATGGACATTGCAACAGAGTTCCTGCTTCATGGAAGAGTCTGCCAGACAGTCTGCAGGACACAGAGAAAAGTGACTGACAAACTGCCAATACAAGAAGACAGTTTAAAGTTTCCTGCTTTGCTGAAGAGTCTGCCAGACACACTATGGCCTATGGGCTGAAGATGGAAGATTACAGAAGAACTTCAGGTGACTGAAAAGGCAAGATGTCTCTGTCATTTCTAGAATTTATATACTATCCTTCTGTGGTCTTTGAAGGAGTTGAAGACAGATAGTTATGGATATAGTTTTCCTTAGTTAAGCTTAAAGATAAGTTACATACAGAACTTTAGACTCACAAAGATAAAATGGATGATGGAATATTTTCTTCATATCTTGCTAAATGTTAATGGACTAAATAGTGTTAACTGTGATTCTTATTTGATAACTGATATGGTTATATTTTGCTATGTTAAGGTTAAAACCCTTCTTTTTATTTAGACAGAAAAGAGGAGATGATGGGAGATGCCATTATGTATATATGCTTCTCATACTAGTTAATGAATAAAGCACTGTTGGCCAATAGGAAAGCAAGATAGGAGGGACTAGGAGACAAGGAGGAAAGAGGAAGTAGGAAGGAGGAGCCAAGATGGAGAGTCGGGAGAAAGCAGAATGCTGGCCAGCTCCCCGGTAAGAGAAATACATAGATCAGCAGAAATGGGTTAATAATTAAGGCAGAGCTAGCCGATAAGAAACAAGTAACCGGGCCAACAAAATTATATCTAATACAGAATCTCAGTGTGTTATTTGGGGCTGGCGCGGTGGCAGCGGGTGGAAAAAACCTTACTCATTACAAGGGGGTCTGGAGCCAGCCTGGCTGCATGAAACAGTGCCTTTTAAAAGGGGGCTGGAGAGAGAGTTGAAAACACTGGCTGATGCTGCAGAGGACCAGGATTCAGCTCCCAGCACCACATGGAAGTTTACTTAACTCAAGTCCTGGGGATCCAGTGTCCTCTTTTGGTTTCAGTGGGCACCAGGCACACACCGTGCATATATGAAGGCAAAATACTCATACCCACAAAGATAAGAAATAAGTATTTTAAAAACTAGAAACTAAACCCCAAATGTAAGCAATCACAAAGGAATAGATGAACAATTTCATAAAAGTGTGACATCTCAAAAAAGGGAATGGAGTTGCCTGTCTTCCAAGACTAGTAGCTTGGAAGAGATCAGATGATAAAAAAAAAAATCAAACCAGACTTGAAGTGCAAAGGGAAAGTACTCTAGATGGTAGGTGTTGAGACTATAAAGGCTGCTGGCTCATCTACCTCCTGAGTGAGCTAAAAATAAGCATACTTCCCCAAGGGTGGGCATCTGCACCATTCCAAAGAGTTAAGCATACTGGTCTGGTCCACAGGCTTCACAGGGTCCCTAGCAGCACCTACAGGCATCCCAGCAGATCAGAGAGAGAACTCTTGGGCTCCTTCCAGAGCTCAAGATTAGCACTCTAAAGCCCTGTAACCATTCTTCCCCTGCAAGCCACAGTCTTGTTTTCCTTTATGTTTCTGAAATAGTCTTACTTGCTGTAGTGCTGGGGCTGGCCTCAAACTTAGCTTGTAGACTAGGCTGGTTTCAGACTCAGTATTCTCCTGCCTTGGCTTCCCATGCCCTGGGACCTACAGGTATTCTCCAAATGTGTCTTTTTTTCGTTGAGTACCTTCCTTTCTTTTAACACTGGCACTTAAAATCTAAACTAAAGAGCTTGCTGCTCTTCCAGAGGACCCAAGTTCAGTTTCCATCATCCATGTCAGTAAACTCACAATCACTTCAAACTGTGGCTCCAAGGTATCTGACATCTTCTTTTGGCCTCTGAGGACACACACACACACACACACACACACACACACACACACACAAATAAATCTTTTTCTTTCTTCTTTTTTTTTAATGCATTAAGAAGGGCTGGAGATGCTGGGCGTTGGTCACACATCTTTAATCCCAGCATTCCGGAGGCAGAGGTAGACAGATTTCTGTGAGTTTGTGGCCAGCTTGATCTACAGAGCAAGTTCCAGGACAACCTCCAAAGCAATACAGAGAAACCCTGTATTGAAAAACCAAAACCAATCAACCAAACAAAAAAGGGCTGGAGATAAGGCTCAGTGGTTAAGATCCCCACCACTTTTCCAGAGGACCCAAGTTTGATTCCCAACACTCACCACTGGGATACTCACTCCTGTACACATGTAGTATACACCACACACACACACTTAAAAAACATTAAAAATCTATATTAAGATTCAGTTTCAAGGCCAGCCTGGTCTACATAGCAAGTTATAGGTCAACTAGGGCTAATGCAACGAGCCCCCACCTCTCACTAATTGATTAATATTTAATAAACTTCAACTGCTTCTAAATAAATACATAAACACATTCAGAATATGAGTATAGTGGTGCATGTGCTTATAATTCCAGCCAGCACTTGTGAAGTAAAAGCAGAAGTTCAAGGTCAGCCTCAGCTATGTAGTGACTTTGAGACTACTCAGTTTCACGAGACCCTGTTTCAAACAAAGTCCCCCAAGCCCCACAAAGCTCTTGAGCTCAGTTGATCCAAGAGACTACACTCATACAGAAGACAATCTCTCGACCTCTGCACTATTGACAGGTTGAGCTGGAATGCACATTTCGGGACACATAGTACTACCTGCCTGGCTTCTACTCATTGGATATAAGCATTCTCCCTCTGCCTACCCAGCAGCCATAACAGTCTGAAAAGTGGCTAGTCGGTATACATACCCCTGGAGGGCAATTACTCCAGGCTGAGAATCACTGCTCTACAAGGTCTTCAGGTTCCACTGGCTGCCAAGCTGGGGGCTCTCAGCTCAGCAGCAGCTCAGCAGTATGTCTCTGAGGCTCCCAATCCTCTCTAAGAAAATGTTAGGCAGTCTTCCTAGCCAGTCCCTTTCTGCCTGCCAAGAGCTCTCAGAACGACTCCATTCTCGAGAGCTCTGTGATTAGGCAGACAGCACTAAGCTGCTTGGTGGCTTCCCACCTCTGTAAGGATTCAGGCATTACGCTGGCCTGCCCCTGTCACCTAGCAGAATGCACTCGGGCAGTACCCTGGTCAACTCAGGGTTCCATGGAGATGCAAAGGACCCCTTTAGGAGAAAGACCCCACACACACACTTAAAGGCCTTTGTGCCTGCTATCTCTGTCCTCTCTCTTCTCTTTCCCTGCTCCTGTCTTTCCACTCTCTTCCTGCTGTTCCCCTGGGGCAGACCAGACTCTTCGTATTCTCTTCTGTCCTCTGTGTCTCTTTATGTCTTTTCCCTTCCCCCTCCCATCTCTGTTCCTGGTTGGCCAACACCTACCCTCCCTTTGCTCCCTTTCCCAATAAACTCCATGTGTGTCTGTTGAAGTCTGTGAAGCTTGTGTCTCATCGCCCATGCAGAAGCTGCAGCAAACAACAACCTCTGTGGGGGGTGACAGTGCTTCGGGACAATCTAGCTTTCCCGCACAAGATGTCCCATGTTACTTCCCCTGCACACTGGCTAAAACCTGAACCTTCGGGGCTCAGTCTGCTCAATCCTTAAATACCTTCCCATCAGCATTAGGAGAACACCAAGAGAAATGATTCTCTTCTCTTTAAAGGGAAGACACCATTCTGTCTAGACAAGCCGAAAAGAGAGGCAATGGAAACGGCTCTGCCCATGCTCAAGGTTACAGAATAATGTCTCTCTATTTTTCCTATTCCAGTAGGATTTAAGACACTATTCATTCTATTTGGAGGCTTCAAGTCAACTCACTCTTTCAAACTAAAGAAAAAATTATTGAAACTGAGCTCACTTACAGAGAGCACCAGATCTCGCTTGCGCCTGGAGTTTTTCTGCCCACTCCCTCGGATCCTGCATGGGGAGCCAATAAATCCCATTGAGCGGCTCAGTTCCCCAGTGCTGCCAGGGCCAGACTCTTCCATGGCATTGTCCAGCGCTGATGAACCAAGCATGTCCTCAGGGCGGGTTGCTGGGAGCTTGGTTCCATTTTCTGGTCCTGTCTCTGAGGATCCTCTCTGGATAGCCAGCTGTGTGGCTGGTGAAAGCTGTTTGGCATAAGCAGGGACCAATACTCGTTGTATTGCACCCTCAGAGGCCACATAATCATCCGCCATCTGAGAACACAAGAAGATCAGTCTATTACCAGCCAGGTAGAGCAGGACCTGCTTAACCACCATTCTTGACCAAGAACAGTGAACAAAGTAGAGGAGGAGGTCAGGTCAGCAGTCTCCCGTGTCAATGGCTTATTTATGGGACTCTTTGAGAACATAAGGAAGTCAGCAAATTATTCTTTTTTCCCCCGTATGTGTATGGGTGTTTTGCCTGTATGTATGTCTGTGCACCACATGTGTCCAGTGCCTGTGGAGGCCAGAAAGGGGTGTTGGATTTCTTGGATCTGGAGTTTCAGACAGCTGTGAGTCACCATGTGGACGCTAAAGAATTGAACCTGGATTCTCTGGAAGAGCAGCCAGTGCTCTTAGCCACTGAACCATTTCTCCAGCCCCAGGCTGATTGTTCTTATATGAACAGGACCTATAATGCTGGGCTGTTACCACAAAACGGCGTAGTGAACAAGACACTTTGACCTTCTATATGAACAGTTTACTTATGGCATATATTCTTGAGTGTAAGAAATGTATTTCAGGGGTAATGGGGGACGCACACATTTAATCCCAGCACTGGGGCATAAGAGACAGGCAGATCTCTGAGTACAGGGCCAACCTGGTCTACAGAACAATTCCAGGACAGCCAGAGCTACTCAGAGAAACCCTGTCTTGAAAAACAAAACAAACAACAACAAAAGGAATGTATCTCGCTAAGTGCTCTGTCTGAAAGGCCAGGGAGAAAGCATTAAGGGGAAGGGGAAACCGAGGCAGATAGAAACAAGATACTCAACAGTTACAATAAAAAGAGAAAATGAGAGAAAAGACAAGAGCAAAGCAGGGAAATGCCAAGCCAAGAGCCCCTAGAGAGGATGTCACACACATAACAGACACCCAACCTACTCTCTAGTCCCTTGGAGGGGCCAGTCCCGGCCAGGCCACACCCCATAGTCTCAGCCTTCACATCCAATCCAGTTGATGCCTGTGCAGTCAAGGACACACAGGGCACGGAAGGGGAGGGAGCAAAGCAGACAGGGACAAGGAAAGGAGTAGGGATTTTTGCAGCCCAGAAAACAAACTGAAAGTGGGGGAACCACACGCATATATTACAAGCGGAGGAGGCGGCTGAGATTTGCAGACCCGTGAGCTGCCTTCCGTGCTGTGAAATCTAAAAGCTAATTCCATCCCGCCAGCTTGGAAGCCTTCCCTGCCTGAAAGATCCCCCCACCTCCCCCACCCCACCCTACCCCACTCCACCTCCTGGTGCAAAGCACCACCTGGCCAGGATATCATCCTGTTTCCTGTCTCTCAGGCCCAAGCCAGGCAGAGAAGGTGAGGTACAGTGACCACGGCTCCGAAGCTAAGCCTTTAGCAGAGCCACAGTCAATTGCTATGATAGGGTAGTGGCTGGGGGAGAGGTCTAGATGCTCATTCCTCATAGTGAACAGAAGGGCTGGGAGTTCCCGCCCTCTCATTCGCCCTGTGTGTTCTGATCTTTACTCTTTACTTGGTATTGTTACCATGTTGGGGCAAAAGGCAAGAGTGGGCAGACAGACTCCCGCTGCGGAGTGTATGCACCTGTTATCCCTGGTCTCTGCCACCTTTCTGTTTCCTTCTCTTCCTTGAGTGCCTTTCTGCCGTTCTTCTTAGCCAGGCTTTTCTTCTTCATATGCCCTTGAGAGCTGAAAACTTAGTAACATTGTGTATTTCCATGTCTTTTCCAGCCCAGAATATGCTCTATTTCCCTCCTCCTCTGCTCTCTGCCCTGACCTTCTTAAAGCACATGCTTTTATTATTTTTAATTATGTGTGTGTCTCTGTGTGAATATGAACATGTAAGTGCAGGTCCCAGGAGGCCACAGGCAGGCATCAGATCCCCTTGGAACTGGCAGTTATGAGCCAACAGACAAGGATGCTGGGAACTGAACTCAGATCCTTTGGAAAAGCAGTAAACAGTTTTGTCCTATTATTTATTATATTATTATTATTATTATTATTATTAATTTACTTTTTACATTCTAGCAGTAAGCACTCTTAACTACTGAGTTCTCACTCAAGTCTCCACTCAGTTAATTTTTGTTTTGTTTTGGTCTTCTTTTTGAGGGACAGGATCTCTATATTTAGTTCAGGTAGGCCTAGAACTCACCACGAAGCCCAGGCTGGTCTTCCTGTCACAGTCACACCCTCTATGTTCCTATTCACTTTTTCTTCTTTTCTTTCTTTCTTTTTTTTTTTTTTTTTCTTGAGACAACTTCTCATGATTCTGGTTGCCCTGGAACTTACCATATACATCATATGCATATACATAGTTTTCAGCTCACAGAGCTGCCTCTGGCCCCTGGGAGCTGGTATTAAAAGCAAGCAATTAAGCTGGTGGTGGTAGTGGTGGGGTTGGTGGAGGAGGCGGCCCACACCTTTAGTGCCAGCACTTAGGAGGCAGAGGCGGGGATATCTGAGTTCAAAGCCAACCTGATCTACAAAGCTAGTTCTAAGATAGTCAGAAGTACACAGAGAAACCCTGTTTCAAGAAACCAAAAATAAAAACAGAAAAGCAAGAGATCAAAGGGGGCTAGAGAGATGTGTTAGTGGTTAAGAGCATGTTCACTGTTCTTCCTAAGTACTTAAGTTTGCATCTCAATACCCATACAGAGTGGCTAGTCTGTAACTCTAGCTCCAGGAGATCTGACTCCCTCTTCTGGCCTCCCCCTGCACCTGCATTCATGTGCACATTCTGGACCCTGAAATATATACAAAATCAAAAATTAAAAAATAAATCTTGCCGGACATTGGTGGTGCACACCTTTATTTAGTTCCAGAACTCAGGAGGCAGAGGCAGGCAGATAGATCTCTGTGAGTTCCAGGCCAGCCTGGTCTACAAAGAGTTCCAGAATAGGCTCCAAAACAATACAGAGAAACTCTGTCTCAAAAAAACAAAAACAAAATAAATAAATAAATAAATAAACTCTTGAAAAGCAATTAATGGTATATGCCACCATACCCAGTATTATGCCAAACTTTCACTTTATCTTTGCCCAAGTATGATGGCTCACTCCTGTAATGCCAACCCTTGACTCTGGAGGCTGAGGTGGTAGAATTGCTACAAATTTGAAAATAGCAGGATTGGGAATATCAGAGCCTACAGAGTGAGTTCTAGGCCAGCTCGGGCTAGAGAGTAAGATCCCATCAATTATTGTCACCATCAAATAAACAGTACCTCCTCTTCCCACATAGATCTCCCTCCCTCCCTCCTTTCCTCCCTCCTTCTCTTTTGGAGGCAGGGATCCTTTGTGTAACAACTCTGGCTGTCCTAGGACTCGCTCTGTAGCCCAGGCTGGTCTTGAACTCACAGAGATCTGCCTGCCTCTGCTTCCCCAGTGCTGGAATTAAAGGCTTGTGTCACCACTGCCCAACTTCACCTGCCTTTTAATATGCTTATCCTTTCATTCTTCCCCTCTTCCCCTCCACACTTCCATCTCTGTACTGAAGCCCATCTTGGCAAGCTGAAGGCCGTGATAAAATATGAATGAGCCGTCTGTGCATGGCAGGCATTCTCGCCAGGAAAGGCAGAGCTGGTGGAGCAGCCAAGACAGCTGTGGAAAAGATGCCACGTTGGAGCTGTTGAGAAGGTGGGAAGCACCATCTCACACTTGCACCAAAAATGACTTCCTGCCAAAAGGCTCAGGGTGGAAACAGGAGTGCTGATTGTCCCTGAAGGTGGAGGAAACTTGGTGGGTGCTCTTCTATTTTATTACAGATAAAAGTGAAAGAATGGTTTAAAGATTGAAAGAGAGGAAGGCATGATGAGTATCTCCAGAGGCACAGGCAGATCAACCACACTGGGAGTTACTTACGGGGTTGAGCAGAGGGGCTCCCTCTACTGCAGCCAGCGCACATCCTGGGAGCCGCAAATCTCTCTGGGGGGCTGCGAAGAAGCCCAAGGGCCCCTGCCCCACAGTGGAGGCGGCCCCCAGCTGCCTCAGCTCCTCGATCACCACCTGCACTCCGCTGCCCACGCTGTCACACTCCTCCTCCATGGCAGACAGAGTCTTGCAGGCTTCCCCCGGACTCCCCTTGAGCAGTCCAGGCTCTTCGGGTGGTGGGCTGCGGGCCCGGTTCTCCCCATCTTCATCAGTAGTGCACACTTTCCCCTGCCGTAGCTCACCCACTTCTTCCTGGAGCTGTTTTAACAACTCATTGTTGGCCCGAGCAAGACCCAGGGCGGCCTCAGCCAGACCCACTGCCTTGTCCACCCGCTGGTAGATAATATGCAGGAGCTGTTCAGAGCTCTGAACTGCCAGGCCATGTCCTGTCACTGTGATAGGGGTGCTGGCAGGAGGATTCCCACCTTGAGAGCCCGAGCTGCCCTGGCTAGTCTCACTCTTACAGGTACAGCAGCAGCATCTGGCTTCACTGCCACTGGGCGGGGAGAAGAGAATGGTGGCACTGAAGGACATAGCTGATGGATGCAGATAACCGGGTGCACACTGCCGGACGGCTTCACAAGTGTTCCAGATAACCGGGTACACACTGCAGGACGGCTTCACAAGTGTTCCAGATAACTGAGGGCACACTGCAGGATAACTTCACTAGTGTTCAGATAACCGGGTGCACACTGCAGGATAACGTCGTCACAAGTGTTCCAGATAACCGGGTGCACACTGCCGGACAGCTTCACAAGTGTTCCAGATGACTGGGTATACACTGTAGGATGGCTTCACAAGTGTTCCAGAGAACTGGCCTTCAACAGGTACGCACTAGACTCGAGATTCACTTGCCTTTTTCATGGAAGGTAGTCAGAAGGGCTGGGGCCCCAGGCTATGAGATCTGTGGAGGAGTGAGCTAGTGGGTGAAGACACACACACACAGTCCATGGTCGTTTCTCCTCAGCCTTCTATTGGCGGGTCCTGTGCTCCCCAACTACACAGCCTTCACTGAAGAGTAAAGCAGAGCAAAGGTTCTGATGAGTATGGTTCCAGAGGATTCAAGGCATTCTTCTTGCACCCAAGCAAGGACATTCCCAAAACCCCACTGCAACCCAGGGAACAGGAAAGGACTACCGGGAAAGATGAAAGGATCAAGGAAGAAAATGAAGATTATTCCCTTCTTTTTCCTCCGATTCCTGTCATTACTCTAGTAACAGTATTGTCCCTTGCATCTTTGACACCATCCTTTAAGTAGTTCAGGATGCTTCATATGGTATATCTCATCTACACAATGACAGGAAGCAAGTATTATGAGCCAGGCCCAGGGAAGAGAAACGCACAGAAATTATACGGCTTTTTTATAGCCAAAGAAGATGGAACCTGGTTATTGCTATTTGCAGCCAAAATTTTTGTTGCCGTAATTATTTATTATATTCTATAATTTTCATACATGTGCATTCAGAGTAAGACTCCTAAAAAATGGTGCTGGAGAGATGGCTCAGCCATTAAGAGCCTGAACTGCACAGTGAGTTCCAGGATATCCAGGGCCATGTTAAGAGACCATGTTCAAACAAACAGTTTAAAAACCTGTAATTTGCTCCCTTTATATTGAAGAAATCGCTTTTCTAGGCTAAATATTCACTATAAAAACTTGACTCAAGGGGCTAGAGAGAATGCTTACCAGTTAAGATCACAGGCTGCTCTTCCAGAGGTCCTGAGTTCAATTCCCAGCACCCACATGGCGCTCACAACTGTCTGTAACTACAGTCCCATGGGATCCAATGACCTCTTCTGGTGTGCAGATCTATATGCAGAGAAAACACCCATATACATAAAAAACAAAAACAATAAATCTAGAGAAAAAGCAGAACTTAGCTCAATTCCACGTACAGCTTTCCTGTCATTAGAGTCACTGGAAAGCACAGCCGAAGTGGGAACTAAAGGTTAAAGCAAACCACAAGGCAAATCTAGATCAGCTTGTGGCTGGGTCATTTACATAAATTTACATAATATATTCTTTTCCTTCCTAGATAAGGCCTAACACACCTGAAGATCTGGGTGTGTGCTCATGAGTGTGGTATACTTGTGGGTGTTCCTGTAGGGACCAGAAGAGAACACTGGCCGCCCTTGTCCTCCTCAATCCCTCTCCATCTGTTTTGTTTTCTTTAAGGCAGGGTCTCTCGGTCTCTCCCTGAAACTAGTACTCTCATTTTTTCCAGCAAGTCTGTCAGCCAGCAGCAACAGTGATCTTCCTGCCCTGCTCTCCACACAATAGCATTACAGGTGCAGCGGACCAGCCTGGCTAGTTATGAGGGTGTTGTGATTTGAACTCAGATCTTCAGGTCTCAAGTGCTTTTTTACCACTGAGTTACTGAGTTATCTCTTCAGCCCTGAGATTTATTTATTGTGTGTTCTGTCTACAAGTATGCCGGCACCAGATCTCTTTAGCCATGGTTGTGAGCCACCATGTGGTTCCTGGCAATTGAATTCAGGACCTCTGGAAGAGCAGCCAGTGCTCTCAACCTCTGAGCCATCTCTCCAACCCCTAAGATTCCTTTTTAAGCCAACATGATGCAAAAACTTTAATATTAAACATGGATGATGAAAAACATAATATTATAGGGTTTTTGTTTTCAGATAGGTTCTTGGTCTTACCATGTAGACCTGGATGGCTGGCTTGGTACTTGTTATGTATCCCTGTATGACATATAGCAGTTATATAGCAATTATAGCAATTTTTCTGCCTCAGACTCCTCAGAGGTAGGGTTATAGGCATATACCAGCACATCTGGCTTTGTGGGGGTTGATTCGTTGGGTTTTTTTAAAGACATGGTACCAAGCCTTTCCTGCCTTAGTCTCCCCAATGGTGAGACTACAAGCATATACCACCAAGCCCAGCTTAATTTCGTTTTTTCTGAATCCCAATTTTCTCATCTCTGCCTGCTTAATTGTATAAAGGTTATCTATATATAGCAGGGGCTGGAGAAATGGCTCAGAGGATAACAGTACTTGCTGCTCTTCCAGAGGACCTGAGTTCACATCCCAGAACCCATGTCAGGTAGCTCACAACTAACTGCAACTTCAGCTTCAGAGGTTCCAATGTCCTCTTCTGGCTTCCAAGGGCACCATCCCCAATACACACATGTACACACAAATAAATAATTTAAAAGTTTTAGAAAGATTGTCCACATCAAAAACACCTACAGAGATCTATAAAATACTGGCACAGGGTCAATGATTCACAGATAACAGCTTGATAATATAATTATTATTGCTAAGTTTTATATTCCTACAAGAGATATCAACCCTGACTCTAATTTCTTGTTTTGAGGGTTGTTCTTGAAACAGAGTCTCACTATATATCCTTGGCTGGCCTGGAACTAGCTATATAGCCCAGGCTGCCCTTGAACTTTTGGAGATCCACCTGCCTCCACCTCCTTGGATTGAAGGCATCCTGTCACCATGCTCAACATGATTTTTTTTTAAACTTTTATTTTGTGTGTGTGTGTGTGTTTCACATCATGTATTTGGATCCCACTTATCTCCCCATTGCCTTACATCTGCCCTTCTGCCCTTGCAACTCTCCTCCCTCAAAACCAAAAATAACCAAAAAAAACCAAAAAAAAATAACCAAAAATAACCAAAAAAAAAAAAGGATCTTGTTGTGGAAGCTGTGGTGTGGCCCATTGAGTCACACAGCTTACCCTTTAGTCCTTCCTCCCTGTTTACTTCCAAAATGAGTTTCTAATTTCAATAAAACACAATGACTTGAAACAGAACTGGAAGATATTTTCCCCAACCTTAACATCAATTCTTCTTCGCTTTCTCCTTTTCTTTACTTTCCCTTGTCTTCCCTTCCCTCCTATCCTTTCTTTCTTTTGAGACAGTCTGGCCTTGAATGTATAGCAAGCCTCCCTGCTTCAGCCTCCTGAAGTCTAGGATTACAAGCATGAGCCACTATGGCTCACTTTCTTCTCCTCCTCCTCGTCCTTCTTCAGTATTTATTCATTTATATTAATTTGAATTTTTCTGTTGTTGTTTTTCCAGTTTCTTGAGACAGGGTTTCTCTATATAGCCCTCCCTGATTGTCCTGGAACTCGATCTGTAGACTAGGTTGTCCTCCAACTCAGAGATCTAGCCTCTGCAGTCTGAATGCTAGCATTAAAGGCTTAAAACTTTTTTATTTTATGTGTATGAATGTTTTGCCTGTATGCATGTAATGTGGACCATGGTCTTGACTGGTGCCCCCAGGAGATCAGAGGAGACTATCGGGTCTCTTGGAAATGGAGTTACATACATTTGTGAGTCACCAGGTGCTGGGAACTAAACCTGAGAAGCTGACTCATCTCTCTAAGCCTTAAAGATTTATTTGTCTTTCTTTCCTACTTCTTCCTTTTTGTTTTGTTTTTCGTTTGTTTGGTTTTTGTTTTGTTTTGTGTTTTGGATTTTTTGAGACAGGATTTCTCTGTGTAGCTTTGTAGACCAGGCTAGCCTTGAATTTACAGAGATTTGTCTGCCTCTACCTCCCTAGTGCTAGGATTAAAGGCATGTGCTGCCACAACCCAGCCAAAGACTTTTTTTTATTCCTGTGTGTGTGTGTGTGTGTGTGTGTGAGAGAGAGAGAGAGAGAGAGAGAGAGTGGTATGAATGCCTTTGAGCTCTGGAGCTGGGGTTACATAGGGCTCAGCTGCATGATAGATGTGGTTGCTGGGGAAGGGTCTTTTGAAAGAGGAATAAACACTTACTAGTTGAGTCATCTCTCCTGCCCTTTTGCTTTTGAGACTAGGGCTGAAGTAACCCAGGTATCCCTGAACTCACTGTGTAGCTGAGGATGGCCTTGAACCCTTTATCTTACTGCCTCCAACTCTCAAATGCTGGTATCACACGCAAACCTGTTTGTTTTTTTGTTTTTTGTTTTTTGTTTTTTTTTTTTTTTAGTGAGAGTTTTGCTATGTATCCAAACTGGCCTTAAACTCACTATGTAGGCCAAGCTGCCCCCACCCACCCAGCTTACAGGGATCCTTTTGTCTCAACTTCCCAAGGACTGTGACTATAGATGTGTGCCACTGAGATGCAGACAGGAGGGGGAGTCAGAATCCAAGGTCATCCTTGGTTACCAAAATAAAAACCAAATCAAACCAAACCAAAAGTATCTTGGGGCTAGAGAGATAGTTCAGTTTAAGAGGACTTGTCGCTCTTGCAGAGGACCAATGTTCAGTTCCCAGCATCCACATGGTGGCTCATGGCCATTGATAATTCTAGTTCCAGTGGATCCGATGACATCTTCTCACCTCTCCTGAATCCTTCGCACAGTCATAGTGACACACACACACACACACACACACACACACACACACACAGTGCATATAAACTCTTGCTGTCTTTTTGTTTTTATGAAAGCATTTCTTGCTAGAACTCAGATCTGTCTGCCTCTGCCTCTTGACTGGTGGGATTAAAGGCGTGCACTACAACCACCTGGATAAAAGCTCTTTTTTTTATTTATTTTATTATTTATTATTTACTTATTTATTTTGAGACAGGATCTATGTAGTCCTGGCTGTCCTGAAACTCCATATGTAAGCCAGGCTGGTCTTGAACTCACAGAGATCTACCTGTCTCTTCATCCCCAGTGCTGGAATTAAAGCATTTGTGCATCAC